TTCACCAGTATACCTTATAAGCAGGTGGTGTGTATAGTACTAGGTCTCTGTATTGTTTTCCAAAGTTGCCCCTCCTCTTATCCCCCCCTTTACCTGTGTTGTCCATAGCCCTCCCTATTTAATCCTCCTATCCTAGTTTTACCTTTGTCTCTCCCTTACAATATACAGCACTCAATCTAATCAGTTGCCTTAGTTTAAAGACTGACTCTCCAAATAAGCTCACATTCTCAAGTATTGGAGCTCAGGGCCTCTGCATATGAATTTTACAGGGACACAATGTAACCTATTGTAGCATTTAAATAAAGAATATGTGAAAGCAGACTCCCATACAAAGATTTATATCCCAAGAAGAACCAGTGAGAGAGAAAACAGAACTGCCAGGGGGAGAGGGGCAGTAAACAGCGTAACGATGAGGTAGCAGGGTGAACAACTAAGTCTCTTATTTTTTTTATACTAGGAAGACTTGTAAAAATTTTCCTCACAATTGTCCCTCTCTTAAAGCCATTTAGGAGTACAGGTTAAACAGCCAAATGTCCTTCAGCAAAATATGTACACCATAAGGCTGCTAGAAAGAATTCAATCTTTATCTAACTGCCACCCACTTTTGAGGGCCTTGCATCCCAGATGTTCTAGTCTGTGAGTTCAGCAAAGTATCTGCCATGTCTGCTTTTCCTTCAGATGAGGTAGCCTCAGGCAGGAGCACAGAGACATTGAGTTGAAAAGTTGGTGAGCGGGAACATCGATGAAGTTTACCAGACAGGCTCTTTGTCTTAGTCTTTGTCTTAGTCTTAGGGTGGAGAAATGGTGTCACTTCTCTCTCCCTCCCGGATTGCCACACTGCACAGTTGTGACCTTCCACCTCTACCATTCCTGATGTTCTTTAGTTATTTCCGGGAGTCCCAGGAAGAGGTCTCTATATAGTCACAAAGCTCCTGAGGGCAGGAGAGTGTCAGCCATCTTTCTCCCTCTCTCTGTCTCCCTTAGAGGCTTTACCCAGGAACCCCAAACGTGTCACCATAGGTGTTTCCAGTAGCCAGTCACATGAAATTGTGCTGTTACATCATTTTTATTTCCTGTTTCCTTCAACCAGTGACTACCACCTCACATGTCCTAAGTCCCACTGCTTAATCATCGTAGCATTCCTGGCAGGTTTCTAAGTCTCAGAAGATTTGGATGGGGGAAACTACATTTTTCACATCCATTTCATTGATATGAAACTGAGACATATCCTTGGGCTTAGGAGCAATAGCAAATAATCATAATTTTTCAGCCATTAATATTTATTCTCTTCCTTACTTCAGAAGACATATTCTTGCTCTTTCTTAATTCTATTTAGGAAGGGAAATTAAGCTGATTGAATTAAGAAAGTTGTCCCAAGACTATAATAGGATTGCAATTGACTTTAAAGCCAAATCTGGTTTTAACTCCCATAAGGATGTCCCCTGTCCTTCATGTGTCCTGTGTTTACTACTGACGAGGATATTGAGGCCTGAAGAGCATGGCCCAATGTTTGGAGGGTCTTAAGTATGAATTGTGGCTTTAGTGTGCTCAGTCACTTGGAGTTAGGGAAAAATACTAGCATTATGGGGTGTTTAGACAGGTTTCAGTGCATTTATTTTTGTGTTGCTTGCAAACTTCCTTCCTTCATGAATCATTTGTAAGACATAAAGAGATTGTTATAACTTTCAACCTTAGATATGTGGGGTTGGGGGAGCCCACAGAGCTTGTTTCTTGCTTCTCATGGCCTTATTTATTCAGCTTGGGATAAGTTAAAAGATCTGCAATACTCAGGCTGCCAGAGCTACTTTCTTGCCTCTATGAATGACATTTACCCAAATTCAGGATTGCCTAATGAGTCCTAAATCCCTAAACACAAACTTTGCAGGTGCACACAAAAAACTCTCATTTCAAGAATTGGGTTTACCTTCAGGTTACTGGGATGTTTTCTTCTTCTTCACACAATTTTGTCCTTAGAAACTGGAGTGCAGATCCCATCCTGGGCAGTGTTATACACAAGCCACTAAAAGGTTTTCTTTCTCATTCCCTTTATCAACTATATATAGTAAGGCTACTGATTGTTTTTTAGTTAATCTTGTATCCTGCCACTTTGCTGAAGATGTTTTTTAGCTGTAGGAGTTCCCTGGTAGAGTTCTTCAGGTCAGTTATGTAAACTATATCATCTGCAAGTAGTGAAAGTTTGACTTCTTCCTTTCCAATTTGTATTCCCTTGATCTTTTGTTTTCTTTTGATCTAGCTAGATATGGAGAGAGAGGGACATAAATGGTCCCCTAGAGAAATGGAAAGGAACAAGATCTCCCAAGCAAATTTGGAGCATGGGGGGATGGCAGAGGGAGTTAGGGGGGAAGAGGAGGGGAAAGGTGGGCATTATGTAGCAGGAAGATTAAGTCACGGAAAGAATAGAGAAGAGAAATAAAAGAGATACAATAATAGAGGGAGTTATTATAGGTTTAAAGAGAAATATGGCAGTAGAGAAATGTCCAGAGATCTACAAGGATGACCCCAACTAACAGTCTAAGCAATAGTGGAAAGGCTATCTTAAATGCCCTTCCCAAATAATGAGACTGATGCCTACCTTATATGCCAACCTAGGGCCTTCATTCAGTAGCTAATGGAAGCATAAGCAGACACCGATAGCTAAGCATGGAGCTGAACTCTTGGAATCCAGTTGCAGACAGGGAGGAGTGATGATCAAAGGGGTCAAGACCAGGCTGGAGAAACCCCCAGAAACTGCTGGCCTGAACAAGGGGGAGCTCATGAACTCTAGTCTGATAGCTGGGAAACCAGCATAGGCACAACCCAGATTTCCTGAATGTGGTGTTAGTTGGGAGGCCTCTGGGGCCTCTGGTAGTGGGTCAGTATTTATCCTTACTATACTAATGGACTTTGAAAGCCCATCCCACATAGAGGGATGCTCTCTCAGCCTAGACACATGGAGGAGGGCCTGGGCCCTGCTCTAAATGATATGACAGCCTTTGAAGACTCCCCATGGAAGGCCTCACCCTCCCTGGGGAAGAGAAAGGGGATGGAATGGGAGTTGGTGGGGGAAACAGGGGAAGACTGGAGGGTGCGGGAACTGGGATTAATATATCAAACAAGATTATTTTAAATTTTAATAAAAAAGTTATATTAATAAAAGGCTTTCTTTCAAGGTCTATTAAAAATGTCACTAAGAGGCATAAAGACCAATATATATGGCTTGACTATGTACATATATATATATACATATATATATATATAATATGTATCAGTATTTTACATAATGATATAAAGAATTAGAGCATGAAGATGGGTAGTAGCTTCATACATAATAAAATAGAGTGTTAAATCTAAATCTCAGACCCTTTTGTAAAGTGAAGTACTCTACTTGACCATTTACTTTTTCCACTTCTGGTAAGACAATTGCGTTTCAAGGGGAAAATAAAAAACACCAAGTTCGCCACCATTTCACTGCCAACTTCATTAAATTGTCAAGAGAAATATATGCATAATTGTGTTGGTGATCAGATTGGTGACTACTCCAGTTGTCATCGGAGAGCCTTCAACCATTGACTGATAGGGTCATATTCAGAGACCATTGGCCAAACATTGGTGAGAGTTCAAGCACAGGAGAGAGAGGAGGGATTGTAGGAGCCATGGGTGGGGAGTGTCAGGGACATCATGGAAAAACCCACAAAAATTGCTAGTCTGGCTCATGGAAACTCACAGAACCTGAACCAACGACCAGGAAGCTTGCACAGGACCAACCTAGTCCATATGAGACAATTGTGTAGCTTGGTCTATATGTGGTATTCCCAGAAATAGAAACAGGGCTGCCCCTGATGCTTTGACTGGCTCTTGGAAACCTATTACTCATGCTGGATGACTTTGCCCAGCCTGAACATACAGGGAGGTGCTTGGTCTCATGGCAGCTTGATATACTATGCTTTGCTGAAGTCCATGGGAGGCCTGCCCCTTTCTGAACAGATAAAGAGAAGGCATGGATTGATCGGGATGGAGTGGAGAGAAGTGGGGGAGAGTGGGGGGAAAGGGGGAGGGGAGCCCATATAAACTAAATAAATTAAATTTTAAAAATATAAAGTTAAAAAAGCAAGAAAAGTTACTTAGAAAAAGCAGTGGAATTGGGTCCTTTAGTTAGCTAGAAAAATGTACATATTTTAAGAGACAAACTTGGGTAGCAAGGTCATAAGGAACTTCTTTCTCAAAAAAAAAAAAATATGTATTTTGTCTGTATGGATGTTTAGCCTGCCTATATGTTGTGTACCTTGTGAGTGCCTGGGGCCATAGGTGGCCAGAAGAGGGCATCAGATACCCTGGAACTAGAATTGGGGAGGTGGGAATCTCCTAGGAGTCAGTACTGGGAAAATCACATTCTTAGATGGGGAATGAGAGCCACCGGCAAGTGAACAGAGCCATGACTTACAATGTGGTTGTAGCCAACTGAATGCCCAAGATGCAGGAAGAAAACATGAGAAATACAGATGTAAATCATAGGGTTAGCCCTCCAAGGAAATACAACTTCATTACTTTTAAATGTTTTATTTTCAAATTCTTTGTAAAATATACCAATAAATATTTAAACTTCTCAGTTCCAAGACATAGAAGCATTAAATAGGCATTGTGTCTTACAGAAATCACTTAGGATATCTAAGGCACATATAGAACATTTCAGTCCTTAAAGTTTGAACACAAATTGATCATTCTCTATAACACTGTAAAACCATTTCAATAAATAACAACTGATAGTCTTTTACCAATACAAAGTAGATACTCATCCTCCATTGAAATGGCCTACTTTGCCCATTCATGACCCCAGCATGGAACTGCTGCCTCAGAAATATTAATATAATTCCCTGAGAGAATGTGGAAACATTAACCTTCAAATTAAGAATGAGGATTGATTCAACTCAGACTTGATGTTATATAAACAGTGAATTCAATGGCATCTCGCAAGCAGATTCAATTATACTCTTAGTTACTTTACATGTAAAATATTAACATAGAATCTGGGGGAAAATAAATAAATATGGACTTTCAGGAGTTATTCAAAGCAAGCAGGAGAAGCTTCATTTCGATGGTGTATGGCAGGATCATTTTTCTCCTCTGCTTTAGAAGGCAGGTTCCTCCATCAGGACCAGGGCTTCCTCCCTTCTGGGGTCAGCTGGACTTGGCGCTGTCATGAGAAAACAGATACCTTTACTGGGTACATAGCATCCTTCTTTCTCCTGGCTTTTCTGGGTACATCCTGGCCCCAGAGGCCATAGTGCAAAAAAGCCACAGCCCTAGTAGATGTGCTCTTTCAGGATGGAGGTGGAGTGGGGATCCTGAGTCTCCAAAAGTTAAAGCTGTTGCAGTTGTCTGTCACAGTGGATCTCAGCTCATGAAGTACTATTATTTTTCATTTCATTAAGTCTTAAACTAAATTTTCCTGAAATAGATGGATAATAGGCACATATGTGTGTACATATTGGGAGCTCAAGGCAGATGAAAAAAAAATTTTTAAGCAGTGCCACCTACTCTAATACAATGGACATAGGCTCCAGGTGGGGATAGAGGATCCTAGGGAAACCCTTCTAGCACCACAGTAGACTAATTATCAGAAGGATTACTAAATTGTAAAAATTATAATCACAACTGTAGTTCTGTGACTTCCTGGTGTACTTAATTTTCAGTATGCCAGGACTCGAATGAGGCTCACACAGTGCAAATAAAGCATCACTCACTTCTTTAGTATCTTTTGGATGATCTTCTGAAGCCTAGGGCCTTCAGGGTCGAGGCAAACTTCTTGACCATCCTTGAGAGTGGCTCTGTAAAGAGAAAGGGAGACCTTTATAAGGCACGAGGTCACACTGGGGTGAGCATGGAGAAGCAGGAGGGTCTGGGAGACCCTGGAAGTGGCAGAGGCTGCCTGGGAAATTCTCACATGACTTCTGTCTGGGTGCAGTGCGGTCCTGGGGGCGTCACCTTCAAGCTCTTGATGTCCTCGAAATCAATCCTTGGTAGGGTCTTCAGGCACTGACAGCGCAGCTCAGTGGCCACAATTAACCCTGTAGGAAAAGGGACTGGGTCAGTGGAGCTGTGGGCTGCTGCTCTCACCCAAGGCTCCTCCAGCGGTAGCAGCCACTGGTCCCACCTGTAGCCTGGTGGCTGGTGGCCAGCAGCAGCAATAGCAGAGAGGCACCGAGGAGTAAACGGGTGACTGGGGCCATGGCGCTGGGTCGCAGTGTGGCTGGAGTCTATCTGGAGTCTGTGACACGGTCTGGGGCTCCAGGACTCTGCGAGCCCCTTTTATGCAAGGTGGCTGGAAAAGCCCGAGAGCACTGGGCTGGGGAAATTCCTGGGGCTTCAGGTCCCTGTGTCAGAAAAAAAGATAGGGCCACACCCCTAGGCTTGTGGGATGAGTGTGTTGAGGACACTCCCGTGCTACTCGTCTCTCCCTCAGGTCCTGCTTGCCCACTGGGGACCCGTCAAGTCCCGTCTCAAGCCCTCCCTAACCCCCCCCCCCACAAAGGACTGTGAGTGTTGCGGGTCCTGGAGTGACCGCCTGTGATGTGATCTTTGGTGCAAGCACTCCAAAGCAGCAGAGCAAGGAAGAGGTAGGAGAGCTAAGGTTGAAGGTAGAAATAAATTCGCCACTGGGTGGCGAGAGGTCAACAGAGAAAATAGTTACCTGACAGTTGGGGCTGAAAGATTTGTTGTCAGGGAGAGAAAGCAGGGAGAGCCAAGCTTTCCACGGACTCAACTTGTGTATACATCCTTTCTGCCTCTGTCCTTAAGTGTTTTTAGGGTGAGGTTCCAAGCCAGAATTTTAGTTGGACACCCAATGATTTGTTTTATTTTGACATTTACACACACACACACACACACACACACACACACACCACTGCACTCCCTCCCTGCCCCCACCTATTGCTGCCCCCACCCCCGCTTCCAGTTGACCCCTTATTTCCCCTCTTTATGTCTTATATACATATACACAGAAATCTAGACCCCCCCCCCCGAAGGAGAAAACATGCTATATTTATCTTTCTGAAACTGGCTGTCTTTCCTTGGTGTGTTCTCCAGTACCATCCATTTTCTGGTAAATAAGTTCATTCTTTAGGTTAGAATAAAACCCCATTATGTACACAGACATAATTCCGTCATCTACTCATTTGTTGATAGGTACCTAGATGTTCTATATCTTGCCTATTGTGAATTAAACTTGCATGGAGACACAAGATCCTGTGGCATCTCCCCTTTCTGTAATTCTTTTTAAATTCTGCATACTTCATATATGTCTGAAATTAGGTATATACAAATCTCAGTGAACACTAAGACTTCAGAGGACACTTGTTCCTCTGTTCCATCCTCTCAAATACATTCATAGTATCTTTTCAACTTGGTGGAAACAGAGATCAGCATTCACAGTTGAACTGTGTTCATTTCAATTACCTGCTAGGTGTGTGTGTGTGTGTGGGGGGGGTTATAACATAACCTCATCTTCTGTGTGGACTCTCTATAATTTACCTCCACAGTGTTAGGACTTCTGAAATTGAAACTGCCCAGAGATCTGCTTTTCCTAATACAAAGGCTTCAGCCTTGATCTTTGATGTGCTCAGAACCACTGCCAAGCTCAGGCTTTAGGGGGTAGGAGGGGCAGACTGAGCTAGGGCACTCACCTCCTCTATCCCTTGGAAAACAGAACCCAAGGACAATGGGGAGTGGGTACTCAGCATGCAGTTCCTTTGTCCTTGGAGCACAAAAAACCTGATGCAGGTGACATAGAAAACGAATCACAACTAAAATCTCATTCCAAGGCTCTTCAAGCCTTGGGTGTTGGCCCCACTTTCTCTATAAATACTGACATGTGTATTCTATGAAGGAGAATTTCTTGATCCTTTTATTTAATGCCTGCTTCATTTGGGCCATGGGTTTTAGAAAACTTGGATTTAGCACCAGGGTATGGAGGTTTTAGGAGGAATGTTGGCTTAAATCTCTGTCACAGAGAGGCATAATAGTGGGAAAAGGCAAAATGAACTCCCTGTTTTAGAGGCTCCCCTCTCTAGGATACACAGCCCAGCAAAACAGGCAAGCCAGCCCTCAGTCAACTGTAGGGCAGGAACTCTGCCTGACCTCAAGTGGCTCATACCATTTGCAACGTGTTAAGCCTCTCCATGCCTACCTCAGTGTGGATAAGAGACTGAGCTGTGAGCCTACATTTGTTTAAAAAAAATAAATAAGCAGTAAAAGCCAGCATGGTGCTTTACAGAAGTTTGTCAAATAAACAAAATGGATGCAAGCTTGTCCAATATTGCCTAAACATAGACCCAACACTTTTTAATTTTGCCCATGAAAGAAAAAATAAAGTTTAACAGAAAGGTGCATTATCCAAATTTTCTTTCACAGTTATTTTTTTCTATTATTTGTTGCTCTTAACTCTCAGTAACTGCACAGAGCATACTGTGGATGGAACAGCAGTGAGACTATTGGATGCTGAAGCAAACCCTAAATGCACGATGCCCATTTCAAGGCCACGATATCAGTATCCAAACTTCCTAGTTGTAACAGGTGCTCATAGTGAAAACACCATCAGACAGAAATCTGGGTCAAGAGTGGGAAGGTATGCTGGAGAGTGGTTGTTGGGCAACACACTGAGGAGAGTGTGTGCACACTCCAGTAATTTTCACCATTTTCCTTTCATACCCTTCCCTGTCACTCCAGTTCTTCACAGAAAGGATATCAAAACAGTGCCATGTACTCATCGAGGTGGAAACATGAAGGTTCTCATGCTATGATAAGTATGGCAGACTGTTGTAAAAAATATTGATTGATTGATTGATTGATTGATTGATTGATTGATTGATTGATTGATTGAAGCAGAATCTCTATTTGTAGCCCAACATGGGTTGGTACTTTCGTTATAGTCTAGAATGATCTGGAACTTGCAGTAGATTTCCTAAATCACTTTTCAAGTGCTGGTATTTTAGGCATGGAACCACCATACTTAACAATGATCAATCAAAGGTTTATTTACTAAACAAAATGTAAAATAACTTGTGTTTAGGGATTTCTGAAAGAAATGGCCATGTATAATCTACTGGGAAGTGAACTTAGATGGATTCTTTGTGTGCATGCATGCATGTATGCTCTTGTGTGTGTGTGTTTGTATTTGTGTATTTGTGTGTATGTGTATTAGAGTGCATGTGTGTAAGTGTGTTTGTGTATGTGTTTATATGTGTGTTTGTGTATATAGTGTGCACATGTGAGTATCTGTGTTTCTGTGTGTGTGTGATAAGAGTGACAAATCATCGAATTAGTTTATCACCCCAATTTCATTTTGTCTATAAAAAGGAAGTTTGAGAAAATAACTATCTTATTTATTGGGAAGGATGTATAAAATTAATAATCTTTGTAGTAATAAGTTGGTTCTTTGGTGATAAAATCTGCATATAAATGCATTCTGATTACTCTCCCCCCCAGCCCTCTCACCTCTCTGTCTTATCCATAACATTCTGTCCTCCCTAATCAACCCTTACCCTAGATGTCTTTCAATAAGACCAAGAATAACTAGAAGGAATAAAGGAGGATTGAAATTTGTATCATCAGGGAAAGGGAAATGAGAAAGAATCTGAGGGCTGAAATCTGTGACTAGCTGATGAATAATAGCACATATTATAACTGTGGTTCCTCTTCCTAACACCACTACTTTTTTAAAGCTTAATGGGAAATTCACCAAAAATGTGAAAATATTTCTTTGAAATTTGAAAGGTATGGCACCTTATTTTCTAATTGTAGTTGTAATATATGTGTATTTTTATAAAGCTTATAAAGTCAGAAAGGCAGGATATTTTCCCTAACTTCTTTTAATGTTTTCTCTTCATATTTCTTTCTAATTTAAATTAATATTTTTACTTAATACACTTATTACAATGTATTTGTTATTTTATTATTTAACCTATTTAATGCCTTTTTTATGTTTAGTCCTTGGAAAACTCTGGCATCATTCCATTCCATCTTCAGATAAGAAAATTAAGACTTAAGGAGGTCAAGTACCTTGTTCAAGATCACGCACCTAATATCATGCTTGATTCAAGATCTTTAGACTCTTTGTGCATTTTATTTTGAGTTTTTTAATTGTTTCTGTTTAGGTTTTTCCATTATCCTATCCATCTCTCCTTTCCAAATCTGTATCTAATCAACATCTCCATTTTGTATATCACATATATAATATATGCCACATATATATGTGATGTATATTACATATGTAATTATATATAATTCTAGTTGATATTTGTTTAGTAGTATATGTCCACAGTGCACTGATTAGAAACTTTTCTGAAGCATGGGAAAGGGTTAGACACTTTACTTGGAGTGTCTTAAAGGATAACAAAGGGCTAGTGTGGTAGATCCTATGACCCCCAGCACTCTGGAAGCTGAGGTAGAACACATGATTAAGGGTCAGCCTTAGCTATTTGTTGGATTCTAGGCTGGCCTAGGATGCACAGTGAGATGATGTCTCCAATAACAAGGACAACAGCTGAAACAATAGCACATTTGTTGTCTCAAAACAGAAGTGCACAGGAATAGGAGTTGTTGTTCAGTGATGAACAACTGGTCTTTTTGCCTTTCCGTTCCACTACTCAGAAATCCATCAACATCATAGACTGGGTGGCAGTTTTCACAAGGTAGCTCTAGTAGTGTCCACCATCAAATTTAAATATAACTACATTAAGTGAGAGAAGAATTTTACCTTTTTCTTTGTATCTGATTTAATTTATAATTATATTCTATTATCAAAAATATATTTTTTCTCCTTTTTCCTCTACCATCAGGATCCATTCTCTTTCTGTATCTCATTAGAAAACAAACAGGCTTCTAAGAAATAACAATAAAATATAATACAATATAATACAGGTAAAACAAAAGAAAAACCTAACATATTGGAACTGAGAAAAAATAAACATAAGTAAAAGAGCCCCCCAAAAAACACTGGAAACAGACACCCACTCATTCACACACTCAGGAATCCCATAAAAACTCTAAACTAGAAGCCATAACATTTATTCAAATGATTTGGTGCAAACCTGTGCAGGCCATTGCATGCTGCCCCAGTCTCTATGAGTTCATACAAGTTTTGATCATGTTGGTTTAGAGGGCCTAGCTTTATTAATGTCCTCCATCCCCTCTGTCTCTTCCAGTCTTTTTGCCTCATCTTCTTCAGGGTTCC